AGTCAAGGGTTGACCACCTCTCTGTTTACGCCACTCTGAGTTGGGCATGGAAAACGGCACTCTCTTCGGCAAACGATGGTTCGGCATACGCAACACATGTCCCAATCAACGCAGCCTCTGGTGCTGGACACATTCTTCAATGGAAGTACCCCTTACACAACCGAAAACGCGCTTTCTAACTGCCTCGTTACGGATTCGCCGACACCCACCCACACGAGCTGTGGTTCTGAGACAACGATTGTCGAACACCTGAAGACGTCTCACAGCCATACAACAAAACAGCCCGTACTGTAGCTTGATGCACACGTCCCTTCAGATTCAGCGGTAAACCATTCTGACGCCATAGGTGTCTCAAGTTAGCAAACGCGGCCCGAGTCTTGCAGATTCGTGCATTCACCTCATACACTACACTACAATCAGAACTAACTGGCCAACCCATAGGCTCACACTCGCTTCCGGTTGAGCATCCGGGGTTGTTAATTCTCTAAGCAGCTGAACGGTCATCTGTCACACTACAATCAGAACTAACTGGCCAACCCATAGGCTCACACTCGCTTCCGGTTGAGCATCCGGGGTTGTTAATTCTCTAAGCCAATCAGCTGAAGGGTCTACACATGGATATATATGCCACCGATAGTCACCTACGTGTGGTTCGTTGGGCAGCGTCTGTGAGAGTGGCACTTGAATATGTCGACAGTCGCTGACTGCGGGTTAACAGCTCAGGTGTTGATGTGGTTGCCGAGGGTATGAATGCGCGAGTAGTCAGACTGTGAGCCGCTGAAGCTGGTTGTCTTAGGCTATAATGGGGACAAAGGTGAGCACCTGTGACGGTTGTGTGCTGACCACATACGGCGGCCCCACGTGCAAGCCCACCTCCAACACGCCGCTCTTAGCTGTGTGGCCTGGTTTCACCAGTTGTCGCTCATTTTGGAACACTTGTATGAGCGTTCGACTTATGGAATGGCGCAGCCCGATACATTTACGCACTGCATCTAGAGCAACGCGCTAAAACTGCTGGAAGATTGATCGAGAGTGTTGAACAATTTCAAAAGCGATTCAGCAGGCCATCTACAGATGCTCCGCAGATTTCTAGACCCGCAAAGTTGATCTGGAGAGTGAAATGGGATCCACCAAATGTTCAGGAAATAAGTGAGTTCTTTTCCTCCCTTCAAGCGTCACCGCGCCGTCGGTCATGACGAACTCTCGTCTACTCTGAATGGAGATGGAAACGAAATACTTAGTCGGTCTTGTCCAATGTATTTGTCTCTATTTAGGTGAAAGAGATTGTCCCAACTTTAGGGGAGAGTCAATAATCGTGTCTGTTTTCAAGAATGGAGTTCAAAGAAGGTGTGACAGTTTCAGAGGGATCCGCTTGATGCTGTCGTAACCAGGCTCGCTCGTTTCACATTTTACAGTGGCGTGCGAACAGGGGACCCTAACACAGCAAGCAAGACTCCGGCCGGGAAGAGAGGTGTGGACGGCGCATGAGGAGCTCTCTAAAGGCCTTTATACAAATGGCGGTATCGAATGAGGGTGTCCACTCGCTTGATTTTTGTCTAGGGATGAAGTAATGTGGAGAATTCCGGAAGGTCACCAAAAGCCCGTGTCGATTTGCAGTACTCAGACGGCTTTATTATCATTTCTGGAAAAAGATAAAAGCATCACTTGAAAAACTCGTCAATGTCATCCAGTTCTTCTGAATGTGCTTCTCGCCCAAAAAGTGCAAGGTCTTGCTGTGGAATGGAGAGTCTAAGAAGATGTCTGCAAAAATTTATGAAGTGACGTACCTCTCAAGTTAAATTAGCACTCTGGGTAGTGTAAGAGACGAACAAAGTGCGTGAAACTAAAAGGCCATGATTACTTTTAGCAATTTGCACAAAGTTGTGGCATCAAAAAGGCCAACGGTTGGAGGTCGAATCCCTCGTGTACAAGACTAGACAGTACAGGCTGTATTGTTGGAATTCGGTGAGAATTGGCTACTTTGTGCGGAGGATCTAGTATATCTCGAGGTATCTGACCAATAATGCCTCAAGACTGTGGTTGGAACGAGCTGGAATGAGCGATTTCGGTTTAAGTTAGTCGGAAAACAGAGTGTACTTTCCTCAAATAATCCATCAAGCGCTGCAAAATAAGTTGGCTGGACCTTGTTCGAAATGGCGGCGGCCCGAAGATGGAAAGAATGTGACATAACGAAGGGAATGGAGAGTGCTATGAAACGTTTAACTGCTCTTAATGCTTTCAACCTTCCCGGATGGGGTTCACGTGACGCTCCTTCTGCGAACGAACTTCAAACAGCGAAAGATGTGGAGGCTAACCGAGGTCAGCGACGTTCATATTGTCAGTTTCTATCAAGAATGTCTGAATGAGTATCTGAGGTGATAGGCTGCGCCTAGGTCCCTCTCTCTGTTCCATTTTTTTCTTCCAGCATAGGGCTTTATTCAAATAAACTGCTAGATTTTCATAAAGGAAACTTCTCACAAGGTTGCTGAAAACTTTTCGACAGCCCACGACCGGTTTCGCCCTTCTTGGGGCTCAGCAGGTAGACGCAGTCCCCGAGTTTCCGTCATCCATATGTTCTACTTGAACCCAAATTGGACTTTATGAAAATATACTGCGACATCTCGAGTGTCGTGCCAACTAAAACATGAGGCGGCCTGTGTGCAGCACATTCAGTTGTAGAATATCATAAACCAGAGATTCAGTTGAGTTTCTCGTGAAAACCAAATTGATTTGCAAATGAGTGTATTTCTTGAAAGCACTGCATTTTGGGTTCAGGTAGAACATAAGGTTGACGGAAACTCGGGGACTGCGCTTACCTAATGAGCCCGAGGTGGAAGGGCGAAACCGGTCGTGGGCTGTCGAAGAGTTTTCAGCAACCTTGTGAGTAGTTTCCATCATACAAACTTGGATTGTCGTCTCAAGGTTTGCTGTTCAAAATTCGTTTCAGGAATTGTTTTACTCCTCACCCTCGATAATGCATCCGTGTCAAGCTGTTTCCCACTACGACCCCCCGCGGGTGTGTTTTGACCCTAAATGCATATAAAGGTCACTTAATTACGGGATGAGTTTAAAATCCTTGAACACGTGATTGCAGTGTAGTCCATTGATTAGTACCACGAATGAGTCTACTGTTTCCGTCCTTAGCCACACACTATTTGGCTTGCCTGGAAAGTACTCCGTCGAAGGTTTTTTCCTCAACTATCCTACGTTGTCATATTTACCACATACAACGCCCACACCACCGGGCACCGCAAAATCACACCGGTTTCTCTACGCCAAACTTTGGTCACGCACCTATTCCGTTTTCCAGGGCACAGGGAATCGCCCTGGATACAAACATTGAACGAACACTACTCCCATAGGAGCCTGAAAGAAAACATCAAAAATGCCACTCATAAAGGAGCAGAACCCGATTGTCAGCCTCAGTTGTAAACAAACATGTGCACGGGTATAAACACACTTTGGTCCAATTACTGCATTGTGAAACCGAGCGCCATGTCATTTGATGACCTACATCAGTGCCAGAACACACCACTATCCGGCCGATCAACTTTGCTTACAGCTTCCCGATTGTTTTACTTCTGTACGAGCGAATGGGAGTGAGAGGAAAGCGCGGACAATTCAGCTGTCACGTACTGTGCTATGCAATACGATCGCCTCCCACTCATACGCAGAGAGAGACAGCCTAATTCAGATAGTGAGTGCACAACCAGTCCAAAATAAAACAAGAACTCCGACGCGATCTGCAATCCGCCTGTCATCCCAAGTCTGACGGCGTGTTCAACTAGTGGATGAACGCCTAATATGGTTCCAGGCCAACGTGAGACTGTTTCATCCACGAGTAGTCCGGATCATGGAACAAACGGTGAGTTCAGAATAGCTCGGAAAACCGGTACCTTAGTGCTTGGAGGTGTGTCCATGGGAACGAATGGTTCACCGAACGTGTATCACAGCTGCTCCATTCTTCCAGTCGGGCCGCGCTTCACTTAGGACCACCAATGATGATCGTTGTATCTGATTGGCATCCACCACTAAGTGTGTGGTGGCGCGTGCGGCGAATAATTTCCTTCACCCACACACAGCTGACTAATAGGATTTATTTGATCAACCCACAAAGTGGACTGACTGACCCAGCTGTCGGAAATAGTTGCGGAGTTGGCTGTTTACGTATCATAATACCCAGATCTTGTGCAGCTGACTCCACTGCAGGATAATCTGAGGTTCCACTGACAACGACAAGTTTACATCCATGTGTTTGCTTGCTTGTGTATTACAGGATCTCGAATGGGCACACAGATGACTTTGGTAACTCCGTCTCTCAATTAGATCTTTGCGGGCTCGGCTAGTCCTGTTGAAAGGAGGGAAGCTGCGGAATTGTTTACTAAAAAAACCCCCAACTAAACAGACTACTGGACAGGAAAGTAAACGTCTCTAATGAACCTTGTTTTTAAATAACCAAATATCCATCTTCTTCTTGAACGCATCTTCTTGAACATTCCTGGAAATTCGTTAACTTTCACGCAATTGTAAACGAATGCTGTAAAAAAAAGTTCCACAAATTCTGTAATAAATCCATTATATCAGGGCGGAGTTACGAGAAACTATATACTACTCGTATTCCTCATCAGTAGTAGTAGTACCCACCCCCAACTTGTTTCTGGCGTGTTTTTGGTATGCGTCGACAGCACCACTTGGGAAGATTTCAGAATTAGAGCTCTCATATTAGGAGCCATAATTAGGATCCCCATATTCATCACACTATTTTTGGTCGGTTGAACTGTGACATGAGAAATATTACTTCAGATTAACTTATACATGTACACTATTAGTCTTCTCTTTTGTTAACAACAAAAACCACTTGGTAAATCAGAAAGCGAGAAAGAGATACTAGTAAAACCTGCATTTTGATGGAGTGAGGTCACAGTAACTAGATGCACCTCAATCAAGTCCAATACAATACCAAAAATAGAAAGGTTCAAACGAAGGGCTTATCGTTCTGAGTGTAAGTTGTAATGGTTCCACCGAGTTCTTTTGGGTGTGGGTAGTCTCTTTTGGCAGATTTCCTGCTACATGATCCTGGTTGTCCGTAGTTTTTGGTGCTTAAGCCGGTCTGTGTTCCGACGCGCGAGTGACGCGTGTGTGTGTGTGTGCTTGATTGTGTTCTGTCATTGCAATGAGTGGGACATGAAAACAATGTGAAGTCACCTGGTGTCGTTCAAAATGTCATGGAACGGGAGTTGACATATTATCCTATTCATGTCACTATTTTGACGCGTGATTATGAGACAGACAAAATGGATTGGGGGTAGTAGGTGCCGGTGTGAAATTGATTTGAGGAAAAATATAGCAGAAGGGTAAGCATTACAAAACACACATCCGCAAACTAATTACTTTTTGGTGGGAGACTCCTTCGGAACGCAGCTGAACCTCTCGTTTATGATATTCCCCTTCGTAGAACCTAAGGTTGACGAAAACTCCAGAGCTGCTCCTACCTGATAAGCCCAGAGAAGGGCAAAACCGGTCGTGGGCCGTCGAGATCTTTCAGCAACCTTGTGAGTAGTCTATTACATCAAAAACTGAGACTAAACTAGCTCGTCCCTAGCCCGCTCTGTTCGTGACCCCAGTAGAAAAGCGTGCTGAGTTTTACCATCTGGAATAGCCGACTGAATCTGGTCAGAGTAAATGACATGTTCGCTGTTCGCAGAAATGCACACAGTGGTCATTAGCTCATCCATTCCAACAAAATCTTGCCACCACGGGCGTCACCACATGACCGAAATCAGTGGTCACTCAAAGCATGACAGAATACCAGAGTACCTGAACTCTCAGGCTGGAAGTTTTACATAGGTCGATGAAATTCAGTATATTTAAGTTCAACCAAAAAATAAGAAATAAAATCGTTCAGCTCTAGCACTCTTTCGGTGCCTAACTCCCATGCCACCCGAAGGTTGCACGAGGGCTGGGATACTTCCAGTTTGCCCAAGCCTAGACAGGGGAAGTCGAGAGGCAGAGCGGGTCGGGTTCGAACCACGGAAGTTCAGGTCAGTAAATTCGCGCTCTAACCACTTGGGCCATCTCGTCCCCAACCAAAAGTACGGGTCAACCAATGTTTTCTAACTCTTGCGCTGAGTAGTTTGAAGCCCCTGCGGGATCGATAGGTGACATCGAGAAAAGAACATGGTCCGAATTTTGGGGGTGGATTGAGCGAAAGTCACTGTAAAAGAAAACTACAAGCCACTTTTAAGACCACAACATTATGCTTTGAAAATTAAGAGATTCCAATACAGTTAAAACGCGACTTGTTCATCTTTTCTGTGAAGCCTACGTATACTATAAAATGAAACCTGTGGGCGAGGAGTTTTCAGCAACCTTATGAGTAATACATTACAAACAAGTATATGTATCGCGATATCTCGAATATCGTGGCGACTGAAACATGAGGCGACCTGGTGCAGCACATTCAGTAGCCTGGATACATCAAAATCGAGAGATTCAGCTGGGTTCCAGTTGAGTCTCTTGAAAAACCAAATAAGTTTGCAAATGAGTGTATGTTCGCTAATTTCGTGCAATTTGGTTTCAAGTAGAACATAAGGTTGACGGGAACTCAGGGACTGCGCCTACGTGATGAGCCTTAAGAAGGGCGGAACCAGTCGTGGGCTGTCGACGGATTTTCAGCAACCTTATGAGTAGTGCATTATTCACAGACTCAGTTGCTGTTCTATTCTGGTGACATCATGTGACACAAAATGAACAAAACGCGCACACATTTGGCATGCAAATGGACGTGGGTTGCACACTGCCAAGGACAGATAGATCCTGTTGTTTAGCTCCATTTTCTGCCTACCTCACTGAAGACCGCATCATGCCAGCCCAGCTGCATTCTCCGATGATTTAACGTAGTGAAGTGTGCGTATCACGTGCCCCAACCGGTTGCCCCAAGCCACGTTATTATGCGATTTTCCAGAATCTTTTTGCATTACAAGTCATCTGAAAGTGACTTTCACGTGATGAGTGAAAGTTTCGTTTGAGGAATCATCAAGTGACTACTTGATGTGGATTCAGCGACTGGACGATGGGTGTCTAAATGCCGACCAGCCGTTCGAGGCCGAAGGACTACGTGTTCAAACTACTAGCCTGTTCGAAACATTATTGATTTCCATGAAACAGCCATACAATTCTTTTGGGCTGATTGGGGTAGATTGCCCCCAAGTATGAGATGTAAACTCAGTTGAAAATTCCAAAGTTTCCTCGCTTTATTATCGCACGAGTCGAGCTCAAATGTACACATGCATGGATCAGCACCGCTGGTGGGTTTCGCCGATTGATTGTGGGCGTTTTAGTTCACACACAAAGGTCCAGTGCTCTCAGGCTGCCATTGGTGGACATTCTTTCTCTGGCACGTGCAGTGCATAACCACCAATTTGCTATCTGTTGTGGACCACAGTCTCCTTAATGCCTTCTTATTAACGTGAACCCCGTTATGGATAGCCATTTGATCGCCTGGTGCGCTTGACCAAACCAGAAAAAGTCAACGAACGTGCGAGCCAGCTGCTCTATTGATCAATGTCGCGTACTAAGAATACAACTCATCTGTCAAGGACGAGTGAAGAACAACCAATGAAATGTGTCTCAACGAAAAGTGGTTATTCCATTGGTAGTTACGTAGTCCCGTTACGTTCGGAACTGGTTCTTCTAATACTATCTGTGAAAGGAATATAGCTAGTGTTGTCAACCTTGATCGACCGGCTGTCACACTAGTTCAAACACTTTAACCTCGAATGGAGTAATACGATTTTTATACATGATAATGCGTACGGTTGCATCTAGCTGTGATATGACTTCAAGTGATAAAGTCTAGTTGGTCAGTTAGCCCCACCTGATAGCTTAGACAGAGTGATAACTTAGCAATTTTGTGAAACATAGGTAGCTCGAATGCGTTGTTTGGTTGTTTTGCTGTTCACCGAGCTTGGTGATTGGATTGCAAACGGTTCCTCACCGATCGAAGTGACTTCGTCGGTGCAGGGTTGAGTGGGTGAATTCCTCCTCTTTTGCATGTGCCAATATAGCTTCTAAACGGTGTTTGGTAGCTCTAAAAGTAGTCTTCGCGTATTTTGATTGGTCCTCCGTAAATCTGAGTTCGTCTCAATCTCTTGTGTCTGGTTGGTTCGTTGAGCGCATTCAATTCGACAGTTCTGTGTGTGATTGTTCTGGTGTGGTCTGAATTTGTTTCCATGATTGATCGATTCATGAGCCTTCTGTTTTTAGTAATTTTCTTCCTTTGATCCCATCAGTCCGTTGGTTGTCGTTAGGTTTCTTAATTTCCCATGTGTGGTTTTTCCGCTCGTAACGGCTGAAGGACTTGGTCAATATCTCTGTTTATTGATCGATTTTTGTGTGAAGTACCACGCCTCGGCAAACTCTCGCTCACGTGTCGAACAAGTACTTGAACATTGTCCCAATTGAATGTGTGTCCTTCTCTGTCTTCGTGGATTGAGATGAGTGACATTGGGTCATGTCTCCTGCTGGCAAGCCTGCGGTCGTGTAATCTGGTAGCAAGTTTTCTTCCAGTTTGTCCAACATATTTTTTGTCGCAGTCGTTACAGCTGAGTTTGTAGATCACTTTCGTCTTCTTCACTGCATCCAGCCTTCTCTCTGGTTTCGAGAGAGTTCTTCTGAACCTGTTTGCGGGCTTGAAGGCCATTGGGATTCCACGTTGCCGTGAACGTCGTGCAGTCATCTCTGCAACGTTTCTGCTGCACGGCAGCGTGCGTGAACGTCGTGCAGTCATCTCTGCAACGGCAGCGTAATCTACCTCTGTTCTGGTTGTGTTGACAAAGCAGCTTGCTGTTGGTCTCGTAATTCTTCGGGTAGCCATATTTCGGAATGTCTCGTAAAGTCTTCGCTCTTCTTCGCCTCCGTTGTGTTGCAATCCGTTTGAATAGGGTTCAAACACAGCTCCGCCTGTGACATTTCGGATGGTTGCTGTGGTAATTCAGAATCTGGTCTCTATGCTTTTCTTTCCTGTATACTTCAGTTTGTAGTTGACCGTTTGTTGTCCTTGTGACGAGCACATCTAGGGACGCAAATTTTTTGTTCTCCCCCGTTTCGATTGTGAAGTGTCGTCCACATGTCGTGCCCATATGTTCGATTTGATATCTAGTAGCATGATCCGCTCCGATTTTTGCATTGTAATTTCTGCGATGAATCCAAAGATTGCTGAAAGATAATTGATCCAAAATACCTGCTTAGCAACTGAGTTTTTGATAGTGCGTTCACAGCAAACAAGCCAGTGTATCTTCGATTTGATGAAAAAGTCTTTGATCAGGTCAACCTCATCCTGATCAGAAGACTGCTCCGTAGAACATTGTCTACTTCGAAGACAGTATTAAATTACGTCAAACGCGAATTAAACTGTTGATCAATAATTGGTCAATAATTCATGAATAACAGACTCATGAGACGCTCACATTTCTATGTTTCTTTTTAGTAATAAAACATGTTCGAAATGAGACATGCTTATTGGTGTATCCTTTCAAAATGCTTTGTGTTCATGCTTGGTGCTCATACTGACAAAATCGTTAAAGAAACCATGTCTAAGATTGACCAAGACTAGATGATGCTCTTTGAACACTTTATAGAACATCCAATCTTGGAAAGAACTGACGCGATGGATTCCTACCGAAACCAGCCAGAAACCCTCCGAACCGCCTTCCAGTCGGAACATAGCTTACCAAGAAACTTCGCGAGTTTGATGTAGAAGCTCATGTATCATAACACCTCTCTCCTTCCTAGTTTGCCACTCAAGGTCATCCCGAAACAGTGTGGTCACTTTTGGTCACGTGTATCACGTGATCGGTTCTTGGCCACTCCTCACTGAGCAATCTGTGACAAACTTTCAGTAAGATCGGCGAAAGATTTTTAAAAGAATTTTCCACCTAGCTTTCTACCTGCACTTTATCACCCCCATCGAAGATTGTTACCAAAAAAACTAGCTTGACCTTTCCGTCCATCGGAGGGATTGCTAATTTCATCACTTTCGCTGGAGAGAACGAGAAAGTACCAGAATAAAGGTTCTCAGCGTGCAGTTATTTCAAAGGATGACGACTTAAATAGCTGCCTCACTCGCGGTTTCCCTTCCGCCTCCAGGATCACACTATTCAAGAAACCTTACACCTTTTTTTGCTTGCTGAAATGATGTAGTAATCTAACCCCATAATCTATGTAAAACATTGTAACACTGACCCACCCTCTATTACATCAGTTGCGATTGCTCAGCCACAGATTGGCTGAGTTCAGTAGTTTTTCTTGGTGACTTAAAATTTCATATTTTCGTACCTTTAAGTAATGTCACCAGAACATACTACTGATATGAATAAGTGAGTAAGAAAAGGGGATGTTCATAATGTGACTTGTGCAATTGGACCTCCAGATCAAGGCGGCTGAGAGGCTCTATACAGCTGTTCCACCTCTGTTAGGAATCCTCAGAAGTGCACATTCAACGATTCACTGAGGAATTTTAGCTCGCGGTAGTTGGCATTGAAGATGGTGGTCAGCAGTTTGGTCAACGTACTCGCCCGGTGTTCATCTGTCATTCACTTGGAATAGTTACTTGATTTACTATTAGGTGGCCCCTCGAGGCGATGAGATTTTCGTGCAACTTCGTAGGAAACTTCCTGAGAGGAGTATTTAATTTTTACGGGTTGGTACTACCTGTCTGAGATTCAAATGTGCCTCCCGACCTGAGTGAGGTCGATTCCCGAAAAGGACAAGACAATCTTGTACTGTTCCTCCGTTTTCAACGCTAACTACCTTACACGCTCATCTACATGCCAAATAGATTTTCACGGGAGAGTCCCCTGGAACCAAGCGGAACCTCTGGTTCATGACGTTCTTCGTACATGAGGTGGCCTAATGCGGCACACAGTTGACAGAGAACGTCGTAAACAAGAGATTTACCTGAGTCCCAGATGAGTTAACCATCGAGGTCAAATTTTGAGCAACCTGACCGAAACTCGGGGATGGCGCCTACACAGGAGCCTCAAGAAGGACGTGGACTGGGAGAGGGTATTTTCAGCAACCTTATGAGTAGTGTATTACGTCTTAACTACCTTACCTCACAGGATAGAATCCGCTTTTGATACTTCACCCCTAAATGCATTCATTTTGTGTGAAAAATGCAATAAAACTTCCAGGATGGGGTTCACTGGTTTTTAATGTTACATATTTCGGATTACGAGGTAGTAAAGGATTAGGGCGGTCTTGTTTTGCCATTCCAGGTGTGTGCAATCAATTTTCGATACAGTCATCACGTACGGAAGGTTCGTACGTAACTGGATGCTACAAGTAGAGCATAAGGCCGACGGGAACTCAGGGGCTGCGCTGCGCCTACTTGATGAACCCCAAGAAGGGCCAGTCGTGGGCTATCGAAGAGTTTTCAGCAACCGTGTGAGTAGTGCATTATAAAATATGGATGCTACACAGTTTATTCGGAAGAACCTAATCGTGCCTCTCAGCAGAGGGCTACAACGATCGAAGTTGGTAGGCTTATGTAGGGTTCTTGTGATGTTTGGTTGCCTCCTTCCTACACGTTCACAACACATCATGATGACTAAAAACACTGTGCAGTTTTCGAAGGAATTGTTGTGCTTAATTCATCGCTCTAGAGCAACTCACTTTGAATCCAGGACGAAACTGTGCAACTTGCCAACGTCCCTTCTCCCTCGTGTTACTCGGCTTGGCAGCTCAGCGTAACAGATCTGTTGGCCACCAACAGTACTGTCCTGCTGGTCTTATTGGCCCATAATCAATAAAACTCCAGTAAATAAATTACGATACCTTCCGTTATTTCATCTGTGTACTTGTTCATACACAATAAAATCACTCACTATTCAGAGTGGAAATACACTTTTAAAAATTTCATTTTTTCTGAACCAATAAACTGCTTTAAAACAGTTTTGGTCCTCACAGCGGTACTATTTGAAACTTTCCGCTAATTTATCCAATATTTGAAGGCGTTTGCATAAGTGGAGTTGTTTCTAGCCCCGGAATTGTGTCCTATTTTCCGCGGCGACGATCAAAGAAAACTTTGTAACAGCTGTTCAGTCATAGAAAAATTTGAAAACAGCCCATTTCCACCTT